CACACACAGAAGAAGGCAATGGCAAACCACTTCTGGATCATCTGCCAAGAACGTATATGAACAGGTCCCAGTCCGAGAAAAGGATGAAGGATCCCGTTCATATGGACCTGTCGTCAGACAGAACACTAATAATAATCCGCAAATGGGGGAATCTATAGTTGTTTTTCGAGTGGTGACCAATAGCATTTTGAATAAAAACATAAACAGTGTTTTCTATCCCAGAACGCGTTTTACTGGAGCTTTTTAATTTCATTATACATTTATAAATAAAACTCTTTTTTAAAAATTGTACTGATTCGCAAATTTATCTGAATGCCAAGATTTAACTAATAACGGTAATACTGATTACCTTGATGCTGTGATAGTCTCATCACTAAAATTTAATTTTTTTAGCTACATTATGTATCTTGCAAGTTTCTCTCGCACCAGCAATTATTTATAGCTCACGAGCACAGGGACCGGTGGAGGGCTTTGGTTAATTCGGTGGTAAAACTTGCACAAAACAAGACAGCCTTTCCTTTGGCCTTTGCCTTTCCAACAAATAATAGGATGTCCGTCGCCAGGTAAGTGACTTAAAACGCCTGATGAATATCTTCGGCGTCTTCCCCCGAAAAAAAGTTTTCCTCTGATTGATTGAACAGTTCTGTCAGACACTAGACTGTTTTGTGGGGGTCGTATACATTTTATGGATTTATTAGGCGATGTGCATCATGTCTCATAGATAGCGACCAAATGTGGTTAGCAAGGAACACAAAATACCGACGACAGAAACTGAAAACACGTGCTGAGGGACTGCGGTGAAGATAAGAAATCTAACCCGTAGGAAAAAGTGGATGAAAGAAAACCATTTAAAGTTGATAAAATCTTTTTTTTTAAAAAAAAAATATACAGTATAGTGAAGGGAAAATAATTCCACGGTACGTGTTTTCATTCTGTGCCACAAGATTGTCTCTCTAGAAAACGTCTTTAAATAAAATTCTCACTGTACACTCCGTTCTAAAAACGGTAAGAGGGAGGCAAATTTTTACAGCTCAACATATCTGGACAAGCTTTTCAACCCGAGTTCTACGTATCTGCTCGTCACGAATATTTACGCTGATGGATAAAAATTCACACACCTGAGTCTAAGCTGATGAGAAGGAGTCGCTATGAATATCTAACCACAAATTCGTCTATCTCTGATCAGAGGGCAAATGGCGAACTCTTTTGAACACCGTAATGAACTTTTCGAGTTCCAAAGAAGGGTAACTCCTTGACTCGGTAAACATTCTCCTTTCAGGTTCTCAAAACTCTACGCAATTAGGAATTCTTCAGAGATTGAAAGATGGTAAAGCTCCTTACAGACTGGACAGGTCGGGCTGTTTCTACCTGCATGCCACCCTCCCCGTCTTTCAAGGTCTACCCCCTTCAGGAAGACAATGCACAAGTTGTTTCTTTGCTAGGTTATTCAATTGCAACGTATCAACTACATAGACTGTTTTCTGCCTGAACGTCCTAATTCGAAAATCTCTGGTTGGTTCCTAGCAATGACGCTATATCTGGCCAACAGTAGATGAAAACGACGATTGTAATGTTCTCTGAAGTGGCGCCGTGTGGCCTTGTGAGGAACATGCTGCTTCCACATTCAGGTACCAACTACACCGACCACGACCGACAAACGAGTCGCGTGATAACATTAAATATAAAAAGAACCACTCTCGTGTTTGAAACCATAAGATTCCTACGTTACGCCATGTGACTAAATTACCCATCTCCAAAAAAGAATAGTCCATACTGAGAAGCTAACAGTCGCTCAGCCAGTAAGAAAAATATTTCCTCACGTACGAGTTTTCTTGTACGATGGGCCGTTTTATTGCAAAGTATAGGTTTACAGCAGACGATAAATTCAAATGGTTATCCCTTATACGAAATTTAATTTAAATCAGTTAAGTAATTCCGTAGGCAACAGTCACGCACTAATTACACCTTCTAAACGAGGAAAACAATTCTGAGTTACCCACAGTTCAAAGAGGCAAGGCAACGTGTTTCAGATGCGGCAGGATTTACTCTATTCTCGGTATTGGTCCAGTTCCCTCCCCTTCTCTGCCCCCCGGCACCCAACAGCATCCGATTAATGCACGTAAAACAAAAATAGTCTTGTTCATCGAATGGGGGCGTGGAGCAGAGGTGAGAGCTGGATTTGGGGGGGGGGACGTAGTGCGGATAATAACAGGGGCTGCCATCACTCCTCCAAAACCACCTCAGAGATAAACTGTTGGTACTGGCTCGAGAGGCCAAGGAAGAACAAAGGCTGGAGAGAGACACGTCCAGGAACAAAAGAAGGCGAGCATACGCTGTTTTGCTGGCACCAGTAAACAACTGGTTATATTATGATAGAGAGAAAACACGAAAAGAAATCCATTAATCGTGTCATTATCTACAAAAATATCCATGGTTCGAAAATCGGTACTAAATAAAGGTTACAATACTGTTTCAAAACGTACGTTCCAAATACGATTCCCAGCGTGAAATACAGTGTGTCCCAAAAACAGAAGTTTATGTATGCAAATAAAATTTACAAGACCAATTTCTAAATAACTGTAAACATGTTAGATTTTTGTGTGTCATGTGATAAATAACTACTCGCTGACTTCATGTCAGATTTTTGTGTGTCATGTGATAAATAACAACTCGCCGACTTCATGTCGGACTCGTTTCTAATCTTATTCCGGACATATAAACCTCCCATTACAGCACCATGAATCTGCTGGCTGAATACAAATACTTTACAGGTCGTTAAACAAAAATATATCATCCTACAACACACTCAGGTTTGTCGAGCTATTTCAATGCGAAGAAACCTGTACACAGCGCCTGGAAGGGTATACAACTCTTACTGTACTACAGTTAGTCGGATTGCATATCTGGTCCAGCAGGGGACATACAGCATTCCTTGGCGCGAGTAACGAGTTCGCTGAAAATCAATTCTGTGCACATATCGAAGCGGATGCTAATAATTAATATAAGAATCAGAATTGTTCCAACTTTTAAAAACAGTCGATCTTGACTTGACTATAGCAGTGGTACTATACCGAGAAACGCTGGCGGATAGTAGACAGTAGCAAGTACAGATGGCAGTCAATTGCCCCCGACTCAGACACTGGCGGGCAACATACCACGATCGACTCCCATACAAGGTAACAGAATACGCAACATCCACGTTAGCAGTTTCGCTCTGCGGCTTGAACAGGGCACCAGAGCTAGCTTTTTCCAGGAGGTGAATACCAAGAAACCACAGCCTTAAACTCCTTTAATTTGCCGATAATTTGTACATTATTTTAAGGCGACAACAGTTCCCACGTTCGCAATCATAAGTCTGCCATGCGTGCAGTCATTTCATACGCAGACAAAGATTAAAATCGAAATTAAAAACCGTACATCGATACTGTTCCAGTCTTACCACACACAAAGTGAAAACTTCCCCTGTACTAAACATGCCGTAAAGACGTATTGGGGAACTGAGGTATAGGTATATATATTCTTAACCTCAGCACTAAATGGCGGTGAGTGGTTAGTTTTACGTCCTGGCTAATTTAACACATATGAGAAACACCTGGGACTCGTTGAATAGGAGGCTACACGGTCTAGACACGATGCTGCGAAAAGAAAAATTCTGGCCCACCGGGAATCGATCCCTAGACCTTTTATAGACAGATTGGTAGCTGAATGTAATGTAATGAAATGTAATGTAAAGTAATGAAAGGTAAGGTAATGAAATGTTTTATAGGTAACAACAATGCCGAGTAAACAGATGTTTCCTAGGTAACCATCTTACACATTTTCCTGTAACTTTTTCGTAACACTTTTTTGCGGAATGACCCTTCAATATAGACGTATTTACGTCAAAACATGCAGGCAGACTGAGCGTTTGATCTTGCCTTTCCCGACACAAAACTCGGGTTGAAAACTCGGTCAACCTGTGTGGAATGAGTATGGAACAAATCGATCGAATTGTCAAGGCACAGATTTCTAATCTCACGTAGACGATACAGCGTAAATAAAGCTTTAGTGAGTATGTCCTTGTGAGCGCCTTTCACCAGGAAAATAATCCGCTGTCACCAATGCAGAAGTTTCAGGAATGCACTCATTACCAAAATAATAACAGTCGGTTGTTATGTTCACCGCTTAGCATCAGAGTAGGCGGATCAGTGACATCTGGTGGGCGCCTGAAGGGCAACACAGCGCGACAAGGCAAACCAGTCCATCGCGCGACGAGGTGTTCTGTACCAGGGCGCCAACTACAGAACCGTTCGCTTCAATTTCCTACGCGGTCGAACCAATGGCCATTTCCACCAGATCCCGTTTATGCTAAACCAAAACTATGAGACACGATAAAGCAGTGTTACACGAGAATGGCTAGTAATTGCCAGCAAGCTCTTCCCACGCGCATTCCGCCCTCGTATTTCGAATTCCGACAATACATCGCCCGGACCATGATGTATGGAGTTCCTCGTAAATTGAAATCGTTTATTTCACTTCTCTGGGCTGCCATAAACCACTCGCCATGCTGGTTTTTTTAAAGAAAGCGTTATTGTTTCTGTCTGTCCCAGGCACCTCGAGAGATTTACATCTCCTGATGGACCATCACGGTCAATAACTGAACAGAGCAGAATGTTGGTATTCACGTTCAGAACCAAACGGCTGAGGGGAGGAACAAGACAACTTCAAACATCAGTAGTTGATACAGTAACTGAAGTTCTGGTGGCGGTGAAGACGTTGGTGTTGTTATTTTCGGTATTTACACAAATATTAGCAGAGTTTTGGAGGGACATACTGTCTTTATCTTCGGGTAAGAGTAAATGCGATGTCATTTGATTACGAGCGGGAGACAGCGCGAAGCTCCCGAGAACAATTATTTCTTCCCGTCTGTTCCACATTTCGCACTGACGCCGAGAATTTAAAATGCATCAATAAGGAAATCGATTAAGTCTACCATGTAATATATAAAATTCATAACTCACCAACTGATGGGCTAAGGTAATTCCTCTTCCATAATATGGTACAGCTCTCTGACACGTCAAGCCCAAACTCGGAGAATCTGAAATTACCGAAAAATTTTAATAAACGGATCATGAAACACCCCCCCTCCCCCCCTGCTATTTAGTTTCACACATTTTAAAAATTTGTTGATTACTTTGACAAAGACACGGGATAAATAAAATGGGGAACACTTTTAGCAGTCATTCTTTGTTAACAAGATAAATAGGACCACAGATGCAAAGAGTACAACTTCAGAGAAGTAAATTACCATAATCCGACCAAGTCAATCTGTGAATACAAAGTCCCCCATACAACACAAAAAAATAAACGAAAGGACGCGGGTCACCCTTTCATTTCTACGGTCGTGTTTGTGCCCCGCGTAACAATTTCTTTTATATCCAACCCCCCCCAGGCACACACACACACAACCTCGCCACGTGCCGACAAAACTGGTCTGATCGGAGACTAGAAAGACTGCACTGAAATGCCATCAGCTCTTTTTTCCTACGAACTGTTTTGCCGCTAGACTCAATGCAACATTCGCGCGCCAAGATAATCAGAATGGGATCCGTCATGGCCCAGCAGAGTTACAATTTCATTTGTGGGTGGAGATAAAAAGGGCTTACGAACATATAAAAATATCAAAAACAGATAATTTCTTAAGGTAGTATATTTGCGTCATATTGTGAATTAGGTTAATATTTTAATATTTTCCGTGATCGATTTACAAATTGGAACGTTCCAATTTGTAAATCGATCATTCGATGCGGAACGTGAAATGATATTTTAAATATTTTATATTTTATTATCTTATTAAAAATTGTGATTTGACGAAAAATATTAAAATATTAAGATAATTTCTTGTCGTTAAAATTAACACATCAACTAACAGAACTGATATTTAATTTGTCTCCACTGACACAACTGACACAACTGACGAAACAAAAGGTAACTTGTAGAAACAGCAGGTGTAAGTAATGAGAAACATGCCGCAAGGACACTTTCCCAGCCAAACAGCACAAGAAGAAGACCCCAAGCTGATAGGAAATTTAAAAATTCTGCTCCGCATTCGGGAGATCCCGGGTTCAAATCTGAGTCCAAGGCTAGCTATCCTTACTGAAGTCCTGCGTGGTTTCCCCAGTCCTCGGAGGCAAATGGCATGATAGTGCCTTAAAATAGGCCACGACCCTTTCCCTGCACATTCCCAATTCATTAATCATCTCATCATTCGACGCTACTTACAGCATCGTTAAATAGAGCACAAATAGAATTCTCTAACTGAATGTCATGGCAGTACCCTAACGAAGCTCGTCTAGATAGTATTTACAAAATTTAGACCGTACCTCAAAGAAAACACAAAACTTCATTACAAATATTACCTCGTTAAGGCTATTAAAGGAAACCTCTCTTCATTCCGAGAATAATATGAAACCCATAAATTACAAAATTCGGTGTTAAATGATTGTTAACGATGTTACATACAGTTAACAACTTGGTCTAAAAAGGCTGACGGAATAATAAGGTGCAGAACACATGTCCGACGGTGATGAGATTAACAACCGTGACAGGATCTATGGATTTATTCAAGGACTCGATTTTCGTAAGTCACACGTCTTGACACTCCTATAAGACGTGAAAAAGGTGGAAGCGGTCAGTACCACATTTCAGTTTGCGTGACTTCCTGACAGTGACGAAACTAATTGTAACGTTGCAAGTAGAAGAAAAACGTACTGACCCATTACGACTCCATCCAAACAGTGTCGAATTATGACAATTTTACTTCTTAATGTGATCTTTTTTTGTCCATCACAGGTAGTACAAGACATGAGAAACTTCCGACCCCGTGATGACACTAATTGCAACATAAGAGACAAGCGAGGTACACGTTTTCCTGTCAAGTAAAGCTACACGCCATGAAATAGTTTGGAGGGAGAGCACTTCAGCTCCTATTCATTCTCAACTTCAGCACCAGATGGGGTGAGTGGTCAGCGTCACGCCCTGACAGCGCTTTACCCCTGGGGAAAGGATCCTCGGTATCTACTAGACAGGAGGTTCGCCATAAAAATACGCAAGAGAGGTTTTACGTGTCAAACAGATCTTAACGAGATATTTTAAACCAAGTCATCGCCCTGATGGTGGAGGCAGTAAGCTCCGTAAAAAGCGTCGGTAAATTTCTACCAAACTACACGGTGTGCAACATCCCATAAATCAGTCTTCTTCATGAACGTCGCCGACAGAACCTGTAATCCCGTAAAGTTAAACAAAGTTTTATGTTGGTACGAGTCATATTTTACGTTATACGGAGTTTTCCTCCGGGGGCTTCCCCTGTTTCTCCGTGGCATCCCAACAATTACTCCATTCACACACAGAAGACGGCAATGGCAAACCACTTCTGGATCATCTGCCAAGAACGTATATGAACAGGTCCCAGTCCGAGAAAAGGATGGAAGGATCCTGTTCATATGGACCTGTCGTCAGACAGAACACTAAATAAATAAATAAAATAAAATAAAATCAGTAGGAATAAATAGTTGATTTTAGAAAACTCCTGTAGTACATTTTGAACTTCACGTCAAGTAGTGGCTGTATTGTACAAATATGGTCGAATATTGAATTCGCAAGGAAACATTTGACGTGTACTTCCGATATCACATTACGTTAATCGGAATTCGACGGGAAGAAATACGCAGACAGGGCCAGTAAAGACCTTCCAAGAAAATGTCCATATCAGTTGCTTCGCTCAAGAATAAACTAAATTGTATCACACAGACAACCTTCAATGTTTTTAATAAACTGTAGCTTAGAGGTTGTTAACTGTACCAAGAAAACTTTTCTATTTACAAATTCCCATCAACAGGCAATGACCTGTAAAGCTCAATAAACATTTAATGTTTCAAACGTCTCAACAGGATTTATTGCAAAATTGTAACAGAACTTTTTCCAGTTCGTGAATCCACGAAGATCGTATTTTAAAATACTATGAGAAAGAATTTCTGAATCGTTAAAGAAAACTTATACATTCTGTAGCAATCACCAAGTAATCATTACAATTTACTGTTGTAAAAACAGCATATCTTTACATTTCAGAACAATACACACAGTACGAGACAATTACATTTAGGAATGCCTGTCTCCACTTGCAGAATTTGAAGCTATCATTCGTTCTCTTTTGATATTTTGTAGAATTACTGGGAGCCGGAGTTCATTGCCTATGCGTTAGATTTGCTCATAACTCAGATATAACAAACGAAACTGGATTCCTTGACATTCTTTGCAAAGAAAAAGATCTCCAAGTCTGCCAATGGTCACGACGTCGCAAGGCAGCCTCTGTCAGAAGCGCGGAGAGCCAGAACGCAATGCCATCAGACGCGTTACTCCTCGACACGTTCTTTATGCGGTTCAACTAACTTCACACCACGCCACGATGTATTAAGTTGTATGACGAAGTGAAGGTCCAGCTCCATGCATTCTTAATCTCGCAGCTAAGATTTCTTGACGAGTAAAGTTAGTTACACGATTATACAACATTGGAATTACTTCAAAGAATTTATTGTGATTAGACGGACAAGATTTAAATAATATATATTTATTATATCACAATATGACGCAACTTTACCATCTTACTTCATAATGTATCTTTTGCTTATGGACCAATGGAAGCGTATTGTAGGGGCGGTCAAGGCCTGTAATAATCTGTAGAACCCGTGATGATGATGATGATGATGATGCTTCAACTTCCGAAATCGTCGTTATTTGTCCACAAGAAGTCTCTAGGATCGCCGTGAGAAATCCAATGTGATGCAGAAAAAACCACAGACCCTCGACTCCTTCTTTGGACCTTGCTTGCTTTCTGTAACTTCATATACAACTGAAAAATGGCGTCCAGTTTTTATTTTCATTTTTTGTGCCCAGTTCTAGCTCGTTTGAGGCCGACTACGTCATTACCGCACGCCATTCTGTACTTAAAACACTAGCTTTCTGTTTCTTTCTCCTGATGACCAGACGTGAATAAGATATTTGCAAATAACAGAACCCCACCTGCAACACGCCATGAAAATAACACAGTACTTGAACAATTTAATCGACGGGGCAGAAAAAACACATCTGAAACGTCGGTGAACTTCTATAAGACTACTCAGCGCAACAACCCAGAAGACAGCCAACTTCACTTTTAAATCCCTTTCTCATAAACAATATCTACATCGTATAAAATCGCACGCAAACTTTCCCAACGACACACAAAATCAGATTCATCGACTACAGTCACACGTTTCGAACACATTTATCTCCTCCTTCTTCAAGGTAGATGAAAAATCGTCAAAAACCGAAAAGTCCATCAGAACCTTAAATCCAAGATTCGACAAATTTTAACTGTGACGTAATAAAAGAATTTACATAAAGACACAACTTGCACACATCTGCGTCCGACTATTGCCCAGAGGCACGAGAAATATCATGATTTCCGAAGAGAACACACCTGAGCAGACTACATAAATTTTATACTCTCGAAGACATCTGTTAACAGAAAGAATCAACACTCGCAACGCCTCCAAGAACTGTACAAACTCTGACGTCACAGCTATTCAAAGCTTGTCATGGAGGCATAAAACATCATAAACAAGAATAGATTCAACAGCGAAGACACTTCCTTTTCAGGATGACTTTTGAAAGAGCAGTACACACTTCATGCAGTCACTCCCCCGCCATTTTGAATCTCACATCGAATTCAACTGTTTGACCAAATTCGGTTCTTGCAGTGTCCATCCAGACCTCGCGATAACCAACGCAGAAAAGACGGAGGCGTAGCCACCTGTAAGATCACACAGCGTAAAACGCCGTCTACACCGACGTAGAACCTCGGCTTTCAGGCGCTCACGTAGCCTTGACGAAATGCGACGACAGAGGCAGACGCCTTGGAGCGTCTCTTTAACACTTCATTTGTTCATAAAAAATAAGCAGAAGACAAATGCAACACGGAAATAAACCATAGCCGCCTTACTGATACACAATTAAAAAAATTTGTCAGTTGAACCACGGTTCCGGAGGATTTGACGTAAA